AGAGTGACTTATTTGGTATCATATTAAAAGTATAACTGGCTCTAAATTTATATATATATATATATATATATATATATATATATATATATATATATATATATATATATAAGTTGGTCTTCTGGACTCCTTTTTTGCAGATTACAATTTTTTATATGTTGAATTTCATGCATGATTCAGTTAGAACAGTGTGAAGATTTTAATTGTCAATTACCGAAAAAAGAACCCTAGGGTGAAATCACTCTATACAGTCGTATGAATACCCCCCACTGCCGGTCAAAATACGTTGTGTTGTTTTTTATGAAAATAAGTTAACACGTCCTCTACACAGAACACACTTAAATATAACACTTTTCTGCCAATTTCAGTGCAAAATTTCTGTTTGTGTGCTGAGTACATATGGAAAAAAAAACATTCAATACAGAATGTGCCATAACTATTGCACAGGCCACATTTAATGTTTCATTTTTACCCAATATGTTAAATTCAGCAAATAAACAGTAAATGAACATTGAAATGTGCAGAGTGTCTTCTATGTAGAGGATGTGTAAACTTATTTTCTTTCTTTACTTAGAAATGTACTCAGGGCAGCCCAAACTTGTATGACGGTAGAACAGATGAGGCAAAGCAGAGCAATATATCCACTTGTGATGTTTGCTATATCTTTATTCATGACCCGGTGAGAAAGTGTTTGAACATGTGACCACGGATTGGTTTATCCATCTGGGAGTCAATGTTAAACTAAGAGCGATGACTGGAAGACTTTATTACCAGGGGAGCAGGGAGGCCCGCCACACTTTCCAGTTGAGGCCATGTAGGGACATCTTCTACAATGTGAGCATTAGATGTTGTTATATTACCGTGATATCACCACACTTGCTTATATAGTCTTTCAGCCACCACTCTCAGTCAACACTTTTTTTATATCGAGTCATATATAAAGACAAAGTAAGAGTCACAAGTAGATATGTTGCTGTGCTTCACCAGATCTGCTAAAATAAGAAAAGCTATGAACTCATCAGCTGCCACATGTAACTAAGGGCTTTTCCACTAAGCATGCTGTTGGCCCTGCTCTGACTGGATGAGTGAGAGGTGCAAGTCTATAAAAATGAAAATGCAGTCAAGTTGAATGCATTTTCAAAATCATTTTGCCACAGAATGAGCACAATAGGCAAATGGAAACATGCAAATACATTGCCATTTTGCATATTACATTTTCATTTTAATTTTGCTACTGATATGCCTCCATAAGTTATAAAGCCAGTTACCCAGTTATCCAAGATACTTAATTACCTAAGTTATCAAAAAGCAATCGATAGTTGTCTAAACTGCTTTAATAATTGAAGCAGGCTAATAGCTGGATTTGTCAAGACAACTTCAAGTTCATTGATGAACTTTGTTTTTCTTTTATATTTATTATGTTTGTTATGCTAAAATGCTTGAAAATGGTCTTGCTCTGCTAGGTCAAGTGAAAAAACAAATAAAAAATAACTGTTTTTTTGCCTTATAGTAACAGCATTTAAAAATTTACAAGAGTTAAATTTCTTACTCACAACTTAGATCATATTAATATTAGAACAATATAAAAAAGTGCTTTCAGATTTATACAGTATAGGTTGCAAAAATAGCAACTTTAACATTTTAAAGCTGCTACTCTGTCATATGACCCAAGACACAGGTGATACCATTTAGTATTCGAGGGAGTTGGAGCGCTGATTGGAGCGTGAGTGAGAGTCAGAAGTCATGTGAGCGCTCATTGAACTGTGAGTAATGGAGTTTGTGTCGGAGTCCAAGTCTGAGGGAAGTTGGTCAGTGACGTGATCTCCCAGAGGAGTCTGGGAGATGAAGTCCGTCTCTTTCTGAGAGTTCCCCAAATGCGTGACATTTTCAGTCTTTTTACTCAAGCTTTTCAGCTCTTCAGTTCTCTGCTGCTGCTTGCCCCCCTCTCTCTCTCGCTCAGTTCCCTCTCAGCTCTTTTAAAAGGCGCTCACAAGCCAAACAGACAAACGGAGCAGCGAGCTCTTGTTCCCTGAGCCGAGAGGGAACGAGAGCTCGCTCCTCCGCCTCCCCGTCACCACCCCCAGCTTGCAGCTCGGCCACCTGGGTCAAACGTGAGGTGTAATGACGTGGCCTCGCTGCAGAACAGGGGGTGGGGCCCAGGCAATGGAGCTCAGATCTCGCTCTTTGTCCTTGTGCATCTTGTTGCCAGCACCATCGTCATCCTCCTCCTCTTCTGCCATCACTCACGTCACTCGGGTCACTTGGCGGAGGGCGGGAGTATGCCCCAGTCATCTTCAAATGTAAGTTATTCTGATTTTCTGTGGTATTTTATCTGTTTTCTAGTTATAAAGGTGCACAAGAAGCCTGTTGTTTGCAATTTAGGTCCGTCAGTGACCATTTCACAGTTTTTGAAACACCAATCCATTAGCATGCATGCTAGCGGATTTTGAAGCTTTAGGCTTGTTTTGAATAGCCAGTTAGCTAACAAACTTGCTGGCTAATGACCAAGTAGTTTAACTAGCGACAGGTTTTGTCAAACGTTAACTAATGACAAGGTAGCGCAATCTAATCATTGATCTGTTTGTTCATGTTTTGAATGATTTGGCAGAATAAAGAGGGTTAAATGGTGCTTTTCTGTAAATTGCTAACGGTTAGATGGCTAGCTATTGTCCGTGTTTGCATACATGAGTTGTTTTCCCCTTGTCAGGGACCAGATCAGCGCTCGAAGCATTCATAAAGGCTCGTATAGAGAGAGAAGCTGTGTACCGGGAAAAAAACTCTGTTTTGTCAGCTAGGAAGTAAGAAAGTTAGGGTGTTGGTTCACCAGTTAGATCAGGGGTTTTCAAATCTTATTCACAAAGGCTGTAGCTGCAGGTTTTCATTGGAAACAAGCCGCAGCTCCCCTGATTTATCTTAATCAGGAAAACAATTAATCATGAAAACCTGCAGCCACACTGTGCAGATACGACCAGACACCAAAGAGTTAGTCAAAAAAAAACTAATTTGATTTTGCTTGTTGATAGGACTATACTTTGGAATTGGGGCTACAGAAAAAGGTAGCACAACCTAAAAATGAAATACAAGGTAAGTTCTAAGACGGAAGTGAAGATTCATAGTAGATTACTACAGTAATTAAAAACTCAAGAATTTCTCTTTTAAACGTTAGAGTGCATTTCAAACAATTTAAATATTTTAAGATGCTTGAGTTTAATTCAGCTAGGCAAAAGAAAGCAAACTGAGGTCAGATTACAGGTTTGCATTTATTTTAGGAACTGAAGTCTTCACCATCCAGGAGTGGGACTGACAAACATCATCAGGGATCATACTCAAATAACACCTGCTCTGTGGGGGTCCTATGGGGGTCCTGACCATTGAAGAACAGGGTGACAAAGTATGTAGAGAAACGGATGGACTACAGTCTGTAACTGTAGAACTACAGAGTGAAACTATATGGTCAGTGGAGCTGATACAGTGGACAAAGAATGAAGATACAAAGAGGTGGACTTAAGGAAGTGGCTGGTCCATGTGCATGTATATGAATATTTATGTAATTTAATTGTAAATTAAGTATTTAAGTAATTACTGTATTATTGTATATAGCTGTATAAATCATTTGATTGCTAGTGAATGACTAACTGTATATTTATTTATTAAATTGTGTAGCTGTGTATATCATTGTTCTGTTTAGTTAATGCAAGTTATCTGTGTGGTTTGTGTAGATTTTAATTTGATGTATGTATTAATGTGTTGGTCTTATTAAAATGTTCAAAACAAATAAAACCGTATCTGTTATTAAAAATCATTTTCTCAAGCTGGCAGCTAGGAGGTTAATGAAACTTTTATGATGTGGAGAAAGGGTTTACTGTTCAAGAGCAGCTAGTAGTGCTCGAATTCTTTCATTTCAGCGTTTGAACACAACTATTGTCTATTTTGCTGTTTCATTCAGAGCAAATACAATTAAAATCGCTATATAAACTGCCTAAATGTAATTCTGACGGCTGAGGTAAGTAAACGCCGGTCTCGTGCAGTGGGCGGGAACAAGCGGCGACATCATTGTTGTCTAACTAGAGTGTCTCATTTATCTGTCTTATAAGGATAGATGACGGTTGGAATGCTGCCTATGTAGACAGCTGCCTATGTAGACAGCGGCTACTTAGAGAGCTCACTAGGTTTTGGGACACACCCAACGTGTAGTTTTATTTGTTGGTACTGAGGGAGAGACATTGTCTATAGGACAGTTTAGTATATTAAAGTTCCAGGGAACACAGAGTAAAATATTAAAAATATTTGTATGATCCTAACTTGAGTGTTACACTACACATTTGATGATGCCAGAATTAAAAATCTATGATCAAATATGAAAAAACATGACTTGAAAACTGCTGATCAGACCTCCCTGTCCAGCCTAGCCTGCTCCACCATTCAACCAGAACTAAAATCATTGATTATGTGACACTGACTGGACGTAACAAATCACAAACAGATGTGCAGATGGACTGATGGATGGACAGATCAACCCATGAATGAAGGATCAGATGAACTGTTAATTTTGCTGAATGGATAAACGAATGAAAGGATAACAGGTAGTCACAGATAGGTGTTCCATCTTGCTAGCTTTTGGTTATGCTGGGTTAGCTTTAGCTCGCTAAGCTTCTCTGACTCTGAAACTCGTGTAGGTGGGGCAAGAGACACAGCCTTGTGGTTGGTCAGGGGAATGATTACAGAGTGCTACCCAAGATTAGAATTGCCCAGTTAATATAGGGGGACAGAAATACGGTGAAAAATATCAGTCATTATTAGACTTTGGGAAGATATTCATGAGACATACTTTGTACATGTATATTATATTTGCAGGGGTTTAAGATGACACTGATAGATTTATTATGTAATCAACTTAGTTGCATTTAACAACTCAGTGCATAATATATACAGAAGATATTGCAAATAAGATGAATGCCACACTGAGAATACTACCTGAGGATTCTATGTGAATATTAGCTTTTAAGTACTATTTACAGAAGTTAGGAAACTCAATAAAGGGCAAAAGGCACATTCACTCTGCCCATGGCACATATTTGCATACTGTTCTCCTAAAGTCCCTTCTTGGACACACAGATGAGTGGCACAATACAATATACATAAGTTATGTCATTGAAAGAGTGAGAAATTAAAGTGCATCATCAGTGAAAATCGTGCATAGAGGCTATTCTATCTCACATACACGCACTGATGATCCAAGACCAACTCCAAGCCCAGCGTAGAGTGGCTCAGTGAATGCGGTGTAAAATGTGTGTAAGTGAGTCCATGTGTGTGTGTCAGGTGAGATGCTGTAGAAGGACAGAGTGCCGGCCAGCCAGTCCACATACACTCCTACTCTGTCACAGTGGTCTGAGTGAGGAAACGACACAATTTCATTTCCATTGTGATAAACAGAGTAACTGTTACCATAGTGCTTCAACCTCCAGGACTGTTTATTACAACCAAACTGACTGTCATCACCATCTTCTTTCCTGCTGATTCCTCTGTATGTCACAGCTATATCAACTCCCTTCCTCCCGCTCCACTCAGCCTCCCAGTAACAGCGTCCAGTCAGACTCTCCACACTCAGAACCTGTCCCCACCGCTCAAATCTGTCTGGATGATCTGGATATGTCTGTTTTTCTCTCACACGTTCCACTTTTCTGTTCCCTTCAGACAGGCGGAGAAGTGGGTGTGCTGTGTTTGGGTCCAGAGTGAGATCACAGGCATCTGCACACACACACACACACACACACAGATTAGAAGAAACCATGTGTGTGTGTGCGAGAGAGGATGTGTACAGTTGTTCTCAAGTTATTCTACCCCCTCAAAGTGCAAGGCAGTTTGGTAATATAAATAGAATTTCATAAAAATATATCAACCTTTGTCAACCTTTAGTAAACAGTCACAGAAGGTTTATTACCACATTTTTCAGTTTTTCAATTTTGAGAAAATAAAATTGAGTTTACTGCTAACAGTTTAACCAAAAAGTCATTCTCTTCACAGCAGCTCAGATGCAAAATTATTATTTTATTTTATTATTAAAATAATTATTATATTATTTTTATTATTATTTTTCTATGGCACATCTTTTACACTTTATAACCTCCAATAAACATTTCTATTAGGTGCTCACAAGCTTCTGACTCTACTGGAATCTTTGTCTGTTTCTCATGTGCAAAAGCTTCCAGCTTATTAGATCAATCCATGGGTTGATACAGTTCTAATTTAGTTTCAGTCCTCCATAAAACTGTCTCCCAGAACTCCTTGGTTGTGTATTTTACTTCTTATCATGTTCACCAATACTTTCGTCCTACCATTAACCATCTGGTCATACTGCAAGTCTTTGGCAGTAATGCGAGGGTTTTTCTTAGCTGAACATCTCATTCCTCTTTGTCAAATGGTGTGAGAACATTTTGCATTTGCCATGTTGGCTGCTGAGTTTAAACACATGCATTGGTGGGATTTATATAGCTGAAGCAACATAACTGTCAACCCAAAGGCTTAACTGCGTTGCAACACAATTTTGTAGCAGTGGCTTAAAAACCAGCAATATTAAATAGGGGTTGAATAATTATGGCCATATTAAGAAATATCCCTTTTCTCAGAAATATATCACACATTATCAGTTTGAAGAGGTCACTCAATGTATACACAGGTAATTAAAAAAATTCTCAGTCTTCAGAAAAGCTTGAATTTATAAATCCTTATAGTCTCAGTAGGGATTGAATAATTTTGAATGTGACCGTATATGCGAGTAGATGTACATATCTGTGTATATGTGTGTGTGTGTGTGTGTGTGTGTGTGTGTGTGCATTTATCTGTGAGTGTGTGTGGGTGTGTGTGTAGTGAGTGTACACATCTTGCTATCCTTGTAAGGACTACATGTCCTGACAATTATAGGACAACATGACTATTTTGTGGAAGTGAGGACATTTTGGATATTGAGGTTAAGGTTAGGTTTAAGTTTGGATGCTAAGGTTAAGGTTACAGTTAGGTTTAGGTGTAGGTGTAGTATTTCTTGGCTACAGTAATACAAAAAATGTGTGTTTGTATTTTTTTAAATGGTTGTGGGTGTGTTTTTGTGTAAGTGTGTGTGTGTGTGTGTGTGTGTGTGTGTGTTTGTGTAAGTGTGTGTGTGTGTGTGTGTGTGTATGTATTACATTTCTTTAGTCCTGGTTTCATCCTGTTCTTCCCTCCAAATTCCACCCTACAACACATACAGAAAAAAAAACAATAAACATAATGTAAATAAATAAACAAATGTCAGCTCAGCCCAGTTTAATATAAGCATCTAATAAACAACCAAATAAGTATTCAACAGGCAGCTTAGAAGGTGAAATGGGGAAAGAAAAATCAATATTAACAAATACAAAATTATTCAGAGTAATGTTTGCAAAATAATTTATGCTTGAAGTCTGTAGATGACATGGTCTGTCAGTCCTTTAGTGAGTTGGCATGACATAACTTGTAGGCTCTATGGCATATTTTGATTTCAAGAGATCCATGATCAGGATCACAAAGTAAACAATAAGAGCAACCCATATGCTCCATATAAATATTTTGAAAATGTGCTCATTCATAGATATGTTTCAACATCAGCCTGCTCTTATTTATTGAGACTATTTTCCTTTTTGTTTTGATTAACATATTTTAAGTACAATAGTAATTAGTTGTGTTCGCATCAACTTGCAGTTGGGGTAAGTTGTAACATTTGCCCTCTCTTCATCATGGCTACAATTCTGCTCCACCTATTCAGTAAAACTCTGGCTGTGTATGAAGGCTGAAGGCAGCTGTCTCGATGCCTTGCTGCCTATGTGATCTCATAAGTCAGCGACTTAGAAAGCAGTGTTGTCCACTGTGTCAGTGCTGGTGTTTTCTGCTATTTTTTTCCTAACCACATTGGTACTGACACACTTAATTATGGGAAATGTAAGGCAGTAAAGGATACATCTATGCTGCCTTCAAATACAGCCATACGGAGAGACCTCAGCTGGCAGTGTTTTAAACACTTCTTAGATTCAGACATGACTTCCTGCCTCAGAATGCAGAGGTCTGCACAAGGCTCACCCAGGAGTCCTGTGCATTCTGCTAAATATTTTGCATGCTGGATTTATTTTGAAGCACCCGGTTGCAGGTTCATGCGGAATGACAATGCAGCTCTATGATAGCTGAAAAATGGCCACCATTCTTGTTAAAAACACTCTTGTCTCCTCCTCAGTTCAGTTCTACTGCTCCACCATGCTCGTATTGTTTGTTTGGTGTTTTTTTCCTAGGTTTTTCCAATGTTGATTTTTTTCATGTATCAACAAATGTTCATCCACTAAGGTTAAATATAAAAAGTTTTGGTGACATTCATAAATTATTTTTGATCATAAGCTTGATAACCATTTTTGTAAACTTCTTTTGGATGGCAGTATTCTCTTTTGTCAAATTTTCCTCCTCATTCAAAGATACAAAATATTTGTTAGGTATTTTGGCTTTTTTCTGGCTTCTCCATCCATTTTTTCACAATAAAAAATGGGTGGAAAATCTAAGAACTCACTGTAGTTTCTTCAGCGTATGTGTGTATACAAGTCAGTAACTCACTGTAACTTCTCCAGTTTACAGTCTGGATCCTCCAGTAGATCAGAGAGCAGCTTCACTCCGGATTGTCCTGGGTAATTATATGTCATATCCAGTTCTCTCAAGTGAAAGGGGTTTGATTTCAGAGCTGAAGCCAGAGAAGAACAACCTTCATCTGTTATCATACACCCAGATAATCTGCAGAAAAGATGGAAAAGGAGGGACCAATGGCAATTAAATAGAGCACAAACCAGCTGCAAAACAAAAACATCAAACACCAAATTCTATGAGCTATTTATCAACTCTGGATTTGGTGCAATTTGGGAAACATGATATAGGTATGTGTATCATGATATAATGTTTTTGCCATACTGCCTACTCCCCCTTGCAAGTTATAGTTTTACAAAAATCTGGATCATCTGAGGGTTCCAGAGGACTGGTTTGAGAACCACTCTTTTGACCCATATAAGAACAATTTAAAGCATATTGTAATGGACAAGGACCAGACCCAATTAAAGGCTTCTCCTTAAACAGAAATGTGACCAATCACATCTGCATTTCCTGGTCTAAAAAAATAAAAAGCAGCACATACAAATAAAAATACAGCACTTAAAAGCAACTTGTAGCCAAAATAATTAATTGGTCAACACTATAAGACACTATAAAAGTCTTTTTTTTAATACAACCACATTCACATCACTATAGATTGTCAAGTACATCCTACCTAGTTAAAAAAAAAACCTCAGTAGTTCTTGCACTTCCTGAGAAAACTGAATGAAGTTTGTTACCTTAGGTCAACTTTCTATTAAAACATCTCTGTATATCATTGAACATCAGTGCTTAATATATATCATCATTCACAGACCTAATTAACAGAAACTCACCGGAGTATCTCAAGTTTACAATGTAAACTCTTCAGTCCAGCAGAGAGCAACTCCACTCCTGAATCTTGCAAGTCATTGTTACTGAGGTCCAACTCTTTCAGCAAGGAGTTTCCTAATTGTAGAGAAGTGCAGAGAGTTTCACAGGAGTCCTTAGTGAGATTACAGCCAGCTAGTCTGAAACACATTAATGAACACAGTATGTAAAATACAATTAAACAGCATGTATGTAACAAAGTATCAAAATAATAAGTTGATTTTTACTGGTCAAATTGTGTCCAATATTTCTTTCACATATCCCAATCCCTAATGTTTCACTAAAGTCCATAGAGTTTCATTATGTACAACCCTGTTTCCAAAGACAGTTCAAATGCTGTGCAAAATGTAAATAAAAAGAGAATGCAGTAAGAAGCAAATCCCTTAAATTCTCTATTTAATTGAAATTAGTACAAAGACAACATATCATATGTTGACTGAGAAATTGTGTTTTTTTTTGGGGTTTTTTTTAAATATACCCATTTTGGATTGCATGCCAGCAACACACTTCAAAAAATTTGGAACAGGAGCATCTTTACACACAGAATGTCGTTTGGCATTGCCTTGCTGAAATAAGCACAGCCTTCCCAGATAAAGATGTCATTTTGGATGTCAGCATATGTTGCTCCAAAACCTGTATATATCATTCAAGCATGGTGCCTGCATAGATGTGCAAGTCACCCTTGCAAATCGCATCTCTTGTGCACTAATGCAACTCTGTCACAGAAGCTGTTTTTTGAACCTGTGTGTTTTGTACTTGTATATGTATAGCCATTTCAGCATCTCAGCTGGCAGGACAGGAAAAAAAGAGGGAAATTTTGTAAAATTACTGGGAGTTAATGAATGCAATCTTATGCATCATGCTTTGTCAAGACAGTTGTCACTGCTTTCATCTATTGACAGGACATTACAGAACGTGAAACCCTACTTCATCTATAGATTTTAGTTCAAATTGGTCATAAGTCTGTTACATAGATTATGGATTTTCTTTTGTGTGATGAACACACCCTCTCCTGTACCTGGTATGAGGTCCTCCTTTTCGCACATTGTACCTGACACCTCTCTGACCTCTCCTAATGAGATCCTCTTTGTATATAGTGATTCAATTTTTCATGCCACAGATGCACCAATTAACAGTAGGCTTGTGTTGTTCCTTTGTTCTTATCCATGGTTTACCACTGAAAATCACTTCAGTCACCTATAACACAGTCTGTTTACCAGGTTGCTGTCTGGTAGGTGGTGCCAAAGCTTCCAGGCAAAGATTAACAGGCTAGTTATTAGTCCATTTATTAAGCAGTAGGTTCATTCTTAGAACACCTCTGTCAGTGTGTCATTTATTGTTATAACATTGTTATGCATAATGTTCATACTGAAATTACACACTTATTATCCAAATGTTTAGTACTTTCATTAGCACCTATAGTTCTCTATTTGCATTATTCTTATGTTTATATTGTGTAGTACAGTTGTAGAAAATAATTATCTGAGTCTCAATGCAAGCATTTCAATCTACAAGCCTTTGGCATAGCTTACATTTGATAAATTAAAACTAATTTTGCTTAGCTTTTAACAGTATTTCTCCTTAAATACTACTTACGCATATAATTACTGCTGGAAGTCACTGACAGCCATTGACTCCATTGATTCCCTTCATGTCTCTGCCAGAAAGATGGCAGAATGTGTCTAATCAGAATCATCTACTGTGTCTGTTACTATAGGAGTTGTGCAGGGCTCTGATCTCTGTGATGCATATGCAACTGCCTTCTAACACTTGCATACCTTCCTGTTAAATGTTTTTAAATTCTATGATTTTAGCCTGTCCTTGAGCATATTGTTAGAGCACTATCAAAGTTCGTAATAAAATGTTGCACTGTTCAGCATTCTATGAATGCTTAGCCAATTTGCATTAGAAACAACAACAAAATCTCTTTCCAGTGTCACAAGGTTAAAAGCAATACATTTAACCTTCAGGCCATAATGATAAAATTATCCTATTGGCTCATAATGCTCATCATAAGAACCCTAAATAAGCTGGTATTTAACTAATCAGCATAGCTGTCAAGTATCATAATTTAGTGAAAAACTGCTGGTTTACAAGGACACTCGCATCCTTTGCCTTTCCTGCAGTCTCACAAGAATGAATCTAAAAGTCATGGGTATAAACATTACTATTTAAAAGTTAAATTCATTCAGTGGCATTCACAGTTTTGTAAATTTCAAAATTAGCCATTAGCAATTTTAGCAATAATCAGTTTAGTTTCAACATTTTCATCTAGATTTTATTTATCTGTATATTATTTAATTGTTTTTTTTTTAATTGGGAGCAACAGTTCCTTGGTAACATCTTACCAGAGAACCCCGATATATTAGCATATGTGTTATATTAATGTAGATATAAAAATACAGAGCTTTTTTGTAGGCAGTCAGTTATAATACTCTTCTAGATTTAAATTTCTAATGAGAATCACAGTAACACCTTCTTCATTAGTAATGAGTTAACATTTGTTTCACTTTATAATACTGTTGTAGATCATTATTAACTACTAATGATGAACACAGTAACACCCTGTTCATAGAAAGGTGGAAGTTAGAAAGTTGAAGTGACTGTTTTACCATACTTTTTTCTTTGAAGTAAAGAGCAAAGGTCGAACTGAATAGGTAGTCATAAATACACACACACACACACACACACACAAACAATTATCTAAGCTGCTTATCCTTCTGGGTCACAGGGGTGCTGGAGCCTACATCAGTGGTCATTGGGTCGAAGGAAGGAGACACCCTGGACAGGTGGCCAGTCCATCACAGACAGATATTCAGAAATAATGTTATATTAATGAATATAATGAACACTCACTGAGCTTTTCTGCAGGCAGTCACAGCTGGGATCAGTCTCCTGTAACCCTCCTCTGATGTGTTGTACTTCTTCACGTCCAACTCATCCAGCACTTTCTCTGAGGTCAGAAGCATGCAGGCTAGTGCTGAACACTGTCCAGGAGAGAGCTTTTCTTCTGAGTGTCTCTCTGATTTTAGATACTCCTGAAGCTCTCTGGAGAGAGACCGGTCTTTCATTTCAGACAGACAGAGAAACAGATTGATGGATCTCTCAGTAGAGATGTGATAATGTTTATCATCCTCTTTAATTAAGCTCTTGATGTACTGTATGGTTTTCTCTGAATTGATGTGTGTGAGCCTCAAAAGGCCCTGTAAGAGTTTCTGATTGGACTCCTGTGAGAGGCCCAGCAGGAAACGGAGGAAAAGATCCAAGTGTCCATTCTGACTCTCCACAGCTTTATCTACAGCTCTCTCCAGTAGTTCATCCAGTGGAACTTGTTTCTGAGACCTCTGTTTAAACTGTGGTTTAAAACAATCCAGCGCCTTCTTGTTGTTGCTATCATAGCAGTGAAACACATAAACCGCTGCCAGGAACTCTTGAAAGCTCAGATGAACAAAGCAGTAGACCTTCCTCTGATAAATCACAGATTCCTCCCTAAAGATTTCAGTGAAAATCCCAGAATACACTGAGGCCTCAGTGACATCAATGCTGCTCTCTCTCAGGTCCTCTTCATAGAACATCACATTGCCCTTCATCAGCTGTTTGAAAGCCAATTCAGCCAGTTTCAGAAGCACAGTTCTATTGGACTCCAGCAGTTTCTCTGGGTCCCTCTCATCTTTGTCCTCATACTTCTCATTCTTCATGTTTGTCTGAGTGATCAGGAAGTGTGAGTACATCTCAGTCAGAGTTGTAGGGATTTCTGTGCTACTTTGTGTCATGATTCTCTGAAGAACAGTGGCTGAGATCCAGCAGAAGACTGGAATGTGGCACATGATGTGGAGGCTCCTCACTGTCTTAATGTGGGAGATGATTCTCTTGGCTTGCTCTTCATCACTGATCCTCTTCCTGAAGTACTCCTCCTTCTGTGGGTCACTGAATCCCTGAATTTCTGTCACACGGTTAATGTACTGAGGAGGGATCTGATTGGCTGCTGCTGGTCGGGAGGTTATCCAGATTAGAGCAGAGGGAAGAAGCTCTCCTTTGATGAGGTTTGTCATCAACACACCCACTGATGATGTCATGGTGATGTCAGATACTTTCTTACTTTTTGAAAAGTTCAGTGGAATTCTGTTTTCATCCAGACCATCAAATATAAACACAACTTTGAGCTCGTCATACATCGTTGGATTGAGGTCTTTAAGCTCAGGATGGAAGTCACACAGAAGTCCACGAAGACTGTATTTGTTACCTTTAATCAAGTTCAGCTCCCGGAACGGAAGCACAAACATGAAATCTACATCCTGATTGGCTTTTCCTTCAGCCCAGTCCAGAATGAACTTCTGCACAGAGACGGTTTTTCCAATGCCAGCAATGCCTTTAGTCAGGACAGTTCTGAGCTTTGAGACTTTTGTTTTTTTGTCCTCTTTTCCTTTTTTCTGTCTGTGACTTTTAAATTTGAAAACAGCTTTAATGTTCTCTTTATACTGCTTCATTGTACTCTTCTTTGGTTCTTTAATTTTCACTTCTTGCTTTTCTTTTTCAGGACCGTGTAGAGGTTTAAAGATGTCTATACAGTTGATTGGAGTGTCTTGGAAGTGTTTCCTGGTTGTTTTCTCCATCTGTAGCACCTCATGTTCTTTATTCACTCCTTCACTCTCTCCCTCTATGATATAGAGCTGTGTGTAAATCCTATTTAGGAGGGTTTTATTCCCACCTGTTCGGATTCCCTCAAATAAGTTTTCATACTTGTTCCTCATGCTGGTTTTGTGTCTCTTTATGATACTATCTGGGAGTTCATCTGCTGTTTGGTCAAAATTCTGCTGAAGGTGTGAAGTTCTTACGTGTATGCATAGTGCTTCATCTGGGGGTTGCTGCCTGGTGGGGGTCAAACGGCAAGACAAATATTAGTAACACAAAAGACTAGAGGTGAGCAATGTGGCAAAAATGTAATATCAGTAGTAGTACTTCAAAAAGTTTTCATGACACACAATATGTCACAATATTATTTTTTCTGACATCTGATGAGTTGGTACAGACAAAGTAAAGGCACAATTAAAATACTGTCAAAACCTATAAATACAATGATTTGTATTAAACAATATACATTCTCCGCTTAATCCGTAATACAGACATGGACAAATTTGTTTGTACCCTGCCATGAAAAAGAACCCACAGTTTTCTCTGAAATAACTTGAAACTGACAAATGTAACTGGCATTATTCATTCCATATTGAATATTTATTTGAATAATAAAATAAATGAAAATGGCATGGACAAAAATTATGGGACCCTTAACTTAATATTTTGTTACACATCTTTTAGAGGCAATCACTACAAATAAGTGATTTCTGTAGCTCTCAGTGAGACTTCTCCACCTGTCAACAGGTACTTTGTCCACTCTTCCTGAGCAAACTGCTCCATTCGTCTCAGATTTGAAGGTTGCCTTCTGCAGGTTGCATGTTTCAGTGTTTTATATAGTTGTTTGATAGGATTCAAATCAGCGCTCATAGATGACCACTTAAGAACAGTCCAATGTTTTGTACTTAACCATTCTTGGGTGCTTTCAGCTGTATGTTCTGGGTCATTTTCCTGTTGCAGGACCCATGACCTGCGACTGAGATAAAGCTTTCTGACACTGGGCTGTATGTTTTGCTCTGAAAGGCCTTGATAGTCTTGAGGCTTCATTGTGCCCTGCACAGATTCAAGGCACTCTGTGCCACACACAGCAAAGCAGCCCCAAAACATAACCAAGCCTCCTCCATGTTTCAAAGTGGTTGTGTTCTTTTCTTTGAAAGCTTTGTTTTTTTTTCATTCATAAACAGAGAGCTGATGTGACTTGCCAAAAGCTCCAGTTTTGACTCATCTGTCCAAAGGGCATTCTTCTAGAAGAGATGTGGATTGTCAAAATGCATTTTAGCAAAATGCAGTCTGGCTTTTTTTGTTTTTCTTTCAACAGTAGAGTCCTTCCATGGAGTTCACCGTTGGTGAAAAAGCAACGGATGTTGAGATCAGACCCTGATAAATTTTGATTTTGGAGTTCAGCTTGCATCTCTTTTAAGTTTTCCTTGGCTCTTTGTCTACCATTAACACTATCCTTCTGTTCAGTCTGGGGTCAATTTTCCTTTTGCAGCTGTATCCAGGGAGGTTGGCTACAGTCCCATGGACCTTAAACTTTTAAAATATTTTAAAATATTTGTAATGGTACTCACAGAAACATCAAGCTGTTTGGAGATGGCCCTATACCCTTTAGCTTTAACATGCTTGTCTATAATTTTCTTTCTGTTCTCCTCAGACAACTCTCTCCTTTGCTTTCACTGGTTATTGTTCAATGTGGTGCACATGATGATACCAAACAGACTACCTTTCTCTATTTAAATAGGCTGAATAACTGATAGGATTGAAGACATGTGTGATCCTATTAAAAAAAACAGTTAATTAAAAATGTCACTATATTAATCCACTTATTTATAATTTTTTTAGGGGTACCAACAAATCTGTCCAGGCCATTTTAGAATATCTTTGTAGACTAAACAATAACTTACTTGTTTTCACACTTTCTTTGCTTTACTTTATGACATACCAAAGGCATGCAGGTATACATGAGACTTATTGGCCATTTAATCAGAAACATCTAATAGTCCCCTACACAATTATCGGCACCCCTGGTAAAGATGAGTAAAAAGGGTAATAAGAAATTCACCTTTTGGTGAAATAACTTAATCTCACATTGAAAAAATGAGAAAAAAATAAAAATGAGAGAATTTCATTCTGAGATTAAAAAAATCTCATCAACAAATATCTATTTTTAACAAAACCACATGTGCCACAATTATTGGCACCCCTGCATTTAATATTTTGTACAGCCTCCCTTTGCCAATGAAACGGCACTTAGTCTTCTCCTATAACACCTTATAAAATTGGAGAATACATAGTAGGGAATTTGAGACCATTCCTCTTTACAGAATCTCTCTAGATCATGTAGGGTCCTCTCTTGTGTACTGTCCTCTATAGTTCATCCCACAGGTTCTCTGTGGGGATTAGATCAAGGGACTGAGGTGACCATAGTAGAAGCTTGTTTTGTTGTTCCACAAATCATTTTTGTGTTGGTCTGGACACATGCTTTGGATTATTGTCCTTCAGAAAAATCCAATGATGACCCATTTTTAGGTTCGAGGGAGATAGTGTGATGAAAGATTTTTCAAAGTTTGTTAAAGTAGTAGATGATTTTAATCATAATTACTCATTGTCCTATATCTCATCTATCCATTTATGGGCAGCTCTCAGTATGTGTGTGTGTGTCTGTGAATGACCTTGAGTATAGGGCAAGGATGTGTATATGGTGATATATACAGGTTTAGCAAAAACATATGCTGCCATCCAGATGACGTCTTTTTCAGGGAAGGCCTTGCTCATTTTTCAGCAAGACAATGTCAAACCACATTCTACATTTATTACAGCAGCATGGTTCTGTTGTAAAAGAGTCCGGGTGCTAAACTGACCTGCTTGCAGTCCAGACCTGTCACCACTGATAACATTTGGTGAATTATGAAATGAAAAATCTGACAAAGGAGACCCTAAACTGATGAGCAGCTGAAATCCTGTATCAAACAAGAATGGAAAACATTTCACTTTCTAAACTACAGCAGTGTCTCCTCAGTTCCCAAACACTTACAGAGTGTTAAAAGAAGAGGTGATGAAACACAGTGGTAAATATGCCCCCGTCCCAACTTTTTTGAAACAAATTACTGGCATCAAATTCTTAATAAGCAGATATTTTTCAACATATGATTTGTTGTCTTTGTACTATTTAAAATTAAATATAGGGTTTAATTGATTTGCATATCATCACATTCTGTTTTTAATTACATTTTGCACAACATCCCAACTTTTCTTCGAAATGGGGATGCACATTTCTAAAAAAATATTTGCAAAATGTTCTCTAGAATAGTATGAACAGTACAGCATTTAGCCACGCATGAATTCTCAAGATATAAGTTAACTAATATAAAACTATAAATTCATAATCAAATCACATTTGCACTTCTTGAAAATAAATGAATGGAAAGTGCATTTTTGTATATGTGGAAAGAAACATGCACTTTCTATACATTTATGTATGTGATATTCATTGTATTTTTTTTTTTTCTTTTTTAAAAATAAATGTGTGATGGTAAAATATCAGTACTGCATACATTTAATAAAACCACATATACACAATAACTGAGGTAGCTTTGAAAGGTTCATTTTTCCCCCAGGAAGAAGCTGATTAAAACATTCTTTGGTTTCATTTCTTTGGGCAGCCAACCAGAATTTTAGTTGGCATGGGATTTCAATGTGCATAAACATGTCAATTCTGCTGAAAGTGGACGATGTATGCATCCATTCACTTAATGCTGGGTAATTTAGAGTGTTCACATGCTTTTGTGTCTTTCAAGTCACTAGATGTATAGGCAACAGATTTGAGTCATGCTGGCCTCGAAATCCAGCTCTTATAGAAGAGAACTCAGTGATGAATTGATTTTTCTTGATTTTGTGTTTCTCCAGTTAATTATGACTTTATGCAAAAAAATGAAGAGGTTATTACTGTGAGAAGTTCATAATAATGAATATCCTTACACTGAAATACACCATTTATATGTGAAAGATTTCACGTTTTAAATTAGTTTTTAATTTTATATGTGAAGAAATGATAAATAGTCAGAGGTTAGCTAATAAACATTGTTTTAGGCTATGTGAATATTTGTATTACTCATGTTAAAAATGTTCCAAGATTATTATTAATTTTATTATTAGATCGTTCTTAGATGAGATTACCACAAAGGCAGAGACATGACATGCTGGACTGTCCATCTCTGAGGTACTGCTGAGGTTAAGAGTCATGGAACAAGATGTGTTTGTTATATGGGCTAAAATCATATTACTTCATTACTCATCAGTGTTACACTGAAAGACAATAACTCACTCTGGGTCAGAGGGTTCAGCTCCACTGCTGAAATGAGAAGGGGCCCCCTGGGATCGGAACTTCTTCAAAGACAGACGGCTGGGTTCTGTCCCCCCACTGCTGAAATGAGGAGGTTCCATGATGGACTCGTCACTCTTCATTGACACACGGCTGGGCTCTGTTCCCCCACTGCTGAAATGAAGAGGTTCCATGATGGACTCGTCACTCTTCATTGACACACGGCTGGGCTCTGTTCCCCCACTGCTGAAATGAAGAGGTTCCATGATGGACTCGTCACTCTTCATTGACACACGGCTGGGTTCTGTGCCCCCACTGCTGAAATGAAGAGGTTCTATAATGGATACGTCACAGCTGGGTTCTCTTTGTTCACTGCTGAATGCAGAAGGGTGCCCAATGGACTGGTCACTCTTCAAGGAGATATAGGAGAGTTCTCCTTTTCTGCTCCTGAATGCAGGAGAATGTCTGACAGACTGCTCTCTCTTCTTACAGCTATTACTGGGCTCTCCACTTCTACTTCTGAATGCAGTAGGGTACCTGATGGACTGGTCGCTCTTCATAGAGCTACAACTGAGTTCTCCACTTCTACTGCTAAATGCAGGATGGGGGCAGATGGACTGGTAACTGTTCATAGAGCTATAGCTGGGCTCTTCACTTCTACTGCTGAATGCAGTAGGGTGGTCTAAGGACCGGTGAATCTTCATAGAGCTATAGCTGCGTTCTCCTCTTCTACTGCTTAATGCAGGAGGGCGCTCTATGGACCAGTCAATCTTCATAGAGGTATAACAGGGCTCTCCACTTCTACTGCTGAATGTAGTAGGGTGCCTGATGGACTCGTCACTCTTCATAGAGCTATAGCTGCGTTCTCCTCTTCTACTGCTGAATGCAGGAGGGAGCTCTATGGACCGGT